AAAAAAAAAAAAAAAATGTGTCTGACCCCAGAAATAACACGGGTTGTCTGTACTTGACAAAGGAATGCCAACTGCAACCCCACACAGAATCTATGCAGAGGGCTCTGAAGACTCACCTGAGGACAGCATACCAGGAGGTCAAAGTGCACAGGGACATCCGTACGCGTTCTGTACGGACCAGCTGCCCGTCAAAACGACACCAGCTGGAGCTCACAGCCCTGCTTCTCCCCAAGCCAACCTAACTGAAGGCAGATCCATGCTGGTTTCTGGGGTGGGCGGGAAAACACACGTGGCTCCCTCGCTAAAGAGCACCTTAACCTAGATGAAGCTGAGTCACTCAAGATTCAAGTACTCGGATGCTACTACGCAGGCGAGTGAAAATGGGGGCGTTCTCTGGATGCTTTACAGAATGAAAAAGAACAAGGTTTATGAGAATAGAAGCCGAGGCAGCGGATGACGGGGTGAGCACTGTGGGGCCACAGAAAGGATATCTTGCAGGACTGTCCTTAAGGGCGTTTAGGAATCCTGTTTGCTGTGAACCTGTGGGGATGAAATCAAAATTTAGTATTCAGGCACTCACCCCTGGATATAAACAGCCTTCATGCTGAAAGCTCTGTCATCTACATAAAAATAATAGATGCCTAAAGATCAATTCAATAATTACATTTTGGAAGTGCTACGACACTCAGTTTACTGATGGAGACTGAGATTTCACTCAAGACTTTGACTAAGAAAATGGCAGACTCATAATTAGGCGCAACATCTGCAGACATTTTTTCAATAAAAGCAGATGGATGTCTGCATACTTTCCCATAAATTACAGTCCTGATTACTCCTTTGTTTTCCTTATTTTAATAAGAAAACAGAAACCGTATGCTATTTTTGTCTCTTCTGTTTTCTCAAAATTTGTTAACTTCTGACCCTGGAAGTTCTTAAACTAGGCTACACATAAAGACTTCTTTCTCTGTGCCCAGAGTAAGTGAAGTCAAAGCTGAAGTTTACTACTGCTTTCATTTGGGTTTAAGACATTTTAATAGGAGCTGTCTGTTCCAGAAAGCATTTCTTTGGGGGCTTGAGTAAAGAAGCATCTGATCTCAACCGGCTAAGGCGCCAGCCACGTACACCTAAGGTGGCGGGTTCGAATCCCCAGCCCGGGCCGCCAAACAACAATGATGGCTGCAACCAAAAAATAGCCGGGCGTTGTGGCGGGCGCCTGTGGTCCCAGCTACTTGGGAGGCGGAGGCAGGAGACTCGCTTGAGCCCAGGAGTTGGAGGTTGCTATGAGCTGTAATGCCACGGCACTCTACCCAGGGGGACAGCTTGAGGCTCTGTCTCAAAAAAAAAAAAAAAAGAAGCATCTGACAAAAAGCGTAGGCATCACACTTGTAAAAATATAAAGCCTAGACAGAGGAGGTCTCCAAGTTCCCCCTGTGGGGTACCAATGCTGGGTTCCTCTGTGCTTCAAGGGACATAATCCAGCCCGCATGTGGCAATGGAATGAGTACAGAGGACTGTTTTGACAGCTGATGCTTTGGCATCCCCGTGGTGTCCCTTAGTGCTGGCTTGGCTGCACCATGGCAGTTACGTGCAGGGTGTGACTGGCTTCCGTGTCCCCATGTGTCCCACCATGGGAAGGTGAAGAGTGGGTTGGCTCCCTATTCTTCCTGTGCCTACTGCCCTGGGGCTGTGAGGTGGGACAGGACGCAATGGGCGGGAAGTGGTGTGGAGAGGAAACACAGGGAGAGCTAATGAAGACAGCCGGGGGCTTAGGGCTCCCTCTGCCGCCTCTGCCCACCAGCGGGACACAGCAAGGACACACACTGCAGTTCACAGCGAGCACGGCCCTGAGGCAAGAGGAGGGGCCAAAAGGAATTATTCTTTCTCCTCTGAACCCCAGTTGTGTGGCTTGCCTGGCTCCCCCTCTTCTGTAAGGAAATCTAGACTTCACCCTCCCAGGAATCTTGGGGACCACAGAGTGCTCCCTGCAACCCCTCCCTGAGTTCATGACCTGGCAGAGAGGCCCTAGGTGACAGCTCTCTGCCTTTGGCTCACGCTAGTCTTGGTGGGAAAATGGCAGCCACAGAAACCCGGAAACCCTGTGGCCTTCCCCATCAAGATCAAGTCAGGTGGGGGTTCATGGAATTGTGGGGCGCAAGGAGTGCACAACAGGGGGAAAGAAAAGCTTCATTCACTTTTGCCAAAAATGCTCGGATAGGCTTGGCGCCTGTGGCTCAAGTGGCTAAGGTGCCAGCCACATATACCTAAGGTGGCAGGTTAGAATCCAGCCCGGCTCGCCAAACAACAATGACAGCTGCAACCAAAAAATAGCCAGGCATTTGTGATGGGCGCCTGTGGTCCCAGCTACTTGGGAGGCAGAGGTAAGAGACTCGCTTGAGCCCAGGAGTTGGAGGTTGCTATGAACTGTGATGCCACGGCACTCTACCCAGGGGAATAGCTTGAGGCTCTGTCTCAAAAAAAAAAAAAATGCTTGGATAACTGGCAGTCAGGTAAATTCTTAATCCTTTTTTTGGTAGAAGCTTGGATTAACAACATGTAAACTGCAGTAAACTCCAGTGTGCTGGGGCCAGGGTGAGTGAAACTTTAGCAAAGGTGAGTCTTGTGGATTGTACCCTAACTCTAGTGGCAGGTGGCAGACTTCACCGTGTGGGTGAGGTGTTAGTATGAGTGTGAGTGTGTGAGTGTGAGCGTGTGTGTGACTCTGTGAGTGGGGAGCACACACGTGTGTCCCCTGGGTCTGTGGACCCCACTGAGCAGTGAAAACTGGCCCCTGCTGTCCACATGCAGGGGCCAGGCTATCAGTGGACATTCGTCAGTGGGATGTTGGTATGGAAATGTTTTGAAGTTGTAAGGGTGAACTTATTTTTCCTCTAGTTGTGTCCATAATTAACTCTTTGACAATAACACAAAGCTAGGTGATCTCTCTGCTTCTTCCATTTATTAATGCAGAGATAGGACCCTGCCCACATTTTTGTCCTCCTGGGACTCTGAAAATGAAGGGGAGGTTGTCCCCATAGAGCCACCACCTGCATCACCCCCAGCTAGGGTAGAGAAAGGCCCTAATGGGTCACTGTCATCTTCTTGTAAGCCCACCTAGTTATGGCTCTCAAACATATTCAGGGTGGCTATAAAGTTCGTGTGCAATTTTAAATTTTAAGTTGCACACGAACTTTATGGCCACCCTGAATTATAAATTTGTGCCACACTGGGATGAAAGATTACAGTCAGAAAGAATGGGAACTGGGATTTATTATAAAATACCTATGAACATTTGGGACAGTTCATTTACTTTCAAATTTGATTAGTATTCAAAAGGGACTCATGTGAAACATACCACCCACTTCTCCCAGCCTTTCTGTGAGCCCCACGGAAAGAGAAGGGGAGGAGAATGTGGGCCCAGGGCCTGAGCACAGCGCTGCACTCTCAGCACTGTCGCGTGGGAAGAGAGAGGCTGGTGCTCAGCTACTGCCGGGAACTCTCCAGCAAGAGGCCACGCACTTGCTAATGGGCGGTTATACTCAGGAACGTGGACGAGAGGCAAAGCTGGCCTTTAATGCACTAATGGCACCGTAAGGGAAGTTTAAAGGCTTAAATTTATAGTTCAAAGCAAATTAACCTCCTTCTCTTCACTCCTCATTGTAGGGAAGTGAATGATCAGGAGACAAAAGAAATTCAGAGGGTGACCTTGGGAACGGAGAGTGAAAAAAATGCCATTTGCTTAGGCAAATATATATTAAAATCATTTACATCCCAATCTAGTTTTAAGTAAAGTTGCTTCCTATATGTCAGGGACCATTTACACATGTTCTAGCAGATAATTGAACATCTTGTCATATGTAAGTTTTTCATATACAGGCAGTCCCCAAGTTACGAACCAGATAGCTTCTGTAGGTTTATTTTTAAGTTGAATTTATGTAAATTGGAAAAGCTGCATTTACCTATTACCTGTAATAGCCTCTGTTTGTAAGTGCGAATTGTAGATGTTTGTAACTCAGGAACTTACTGTAATAGCCTCTGTTTATAAGTCTGGATCTTTGTAACTCAGGGTCTGCCTGTACATAGATTTGTGTGCAATGAATCCCAGTCTCTGTCCCCAGACATTTGTTTTGGGGGGGAGGTGTCTGCTCCCATGTACAGAGGTATCATGTTAAGACAAAAACTCTATTGTTCTATGGCATCGCTGTGGCCTGCTGTCCTTGTGTAAAACGCGGGGATGCACCTTCCAAGGGACCCCTTATCAAGAGAGAAAGTGAAGTCACTGAGGTTGGAGGAGGGATGAGTAACAAGAGAAAAGTCCCACAGGGCAAAAATGTGACCCAAGAGTGTTGCAAGGGACAGGGATAGGTGGGGAAAGACGGAGGCAGGGAGGGAGTGGAGCAGATGACAGGGGCTGGCTGGAAGTGAGGAGGGGACAGGGAGAAAGAACGGGGAAGAGAGAGCCCGAAATGACCAAAATATTAAATCAAAATTAAATCAGAAAACCGAAGTCAGGCAAATGGTTACATACGGAATCTGGTTGCGCCAGCATACTTACGAAGAATGACGTGGGTGATAACGAATGCAAATATAAAGACTGTCAGAAAAGACAGAGATAAAATAAACATATAAAAAAATCTGTAGTTTCTTTTCCCCACACAGTTGCCTACCCAGGGACAGTGGTGATCAAACCGTTCTGAAATGAGAGGCAGAAAAAAAAAGTGGAAATCAGTTAATCAAATGTCTTTTTACGTGGGACCCCTCCCACCCCAAACTCTGAAAATATAACAAAACGGTATCATACTACGTATTTTGCAAATTAACCGCTCAGAGAAGTGCTTAACATCAAGACATTCCGAGAACACAATTATTCTTTCTACAAAACTTAGCTGTTTTAAAAAGACAAAGTGTATCCATTATTCTCAAATAGCAACTTAAAGAAATTTAGTTTAAGAGATCCCCCTCTTTTGTAAAAGAAACCTCCTGGCATTCACTGAACAACTTTCCCTTAAAATGGCACTGACACTGCCTGGCGGTGAGTGCTGGACGGGGCTGGGCTGGATGTGGTATTGGTGATTAGTCTTGTACAGTAAGTGGCCATAGAGAGAGGGCACAGGATCTGGGACAGGACAGAGGACAATCCTTTGTTCTCCCATCCCTCCCAGTTACAACTGTGTAACAGAAATTAATCACATGTACAAATACATATTATTCTATTTTACAGATGAGCCAACTGAGGTTTAGAGAGATGGGAGACAGCTTGCATGGGGCTGTACAGCTCTGAGGCAGTGGAACTAGAACTTGGGCCAGGTCATTCCACCTCCCACTGCACACGCTCCTCACGCACTTTCTAAAGTGACAGAGCCCTGGGTCTCAGCAACGCCATACTGCCGCATCACGGTACCCCAAGGGCAAACCCAAGGACTTTGCATGAAGTCTGTAATACATTCGTTATTTGCTCATCCCCTCTCAAGTAATGGCAAAGTGCTTCTCTTTCCCACTCAGCTGATCTTTGACTCAGAGTGGTCTTATAACCCCCCACTCACACCGGACTGTCCACATGCCCCTGGGAAGGACAATACTGGGCATATGACTTAGCTTTGTGCTCAGGCTCTTTGCCAAGCTTAACTTCTACCCAGTTTTCATATTCATCTACCTATATGTGCTTTAGGAACACACAGCGAGGGCTATGAGGGGGTGTGAGTATATAAACAGAAGATTACAGAGTCAGGCGAGGCTGTCAGATTCACGACTTTCCGGTCATGCATCATTGTAAGTCGCTCATCTCATGTTCTTACGTACAAGCTTATTTGTTGGAAAGGGCACAGGGACACCTGCACAGTGGTGGCAGAGGAATCGAATTGCAAGAGAATCACTGTGGTCTGCAAGTGGTATTACCAAGAAGCAACGAGTCTGAGCAGAGGACCTGGGAGACACCTCAGAGCTCACTGGCCTGGTGACAACCTGATGGCCTGTCACAAGCTGACACTAACGTGTGCGGCCAGCCACACAGGGCTGGGGAGAGGGATGAGCAGGTGCAGCACAGAGCACTTTTTAGGGCCATGGAAATACTCTGCGTGGCACTATAATGATAGACGTGTGTCAGGAGGGATTTGCCCATGGCCATAGAAGGTACCATGTCACCCATGGACTTTGGATGACTCTAAGTGTCCAGGCAGGCTCATCATTTGTACCAAACGCACCCCCTCTGGTGTGGGCGCTGACAGGGGAGTGAGGGGATGAATGGGAACTCTGTACCATCCTCTCAATTTTGCTATGAACCTAAAATGGCTCTAATAAATTCTTTAAATATTAAAAACAAACCTCATTTCCCCAATGCATTGATCTGCACAGTCTGTGCAATCAGGGGTCTACATGAAAAAGCACAAAGAGAGAAAAAACCTGAATCGGTTTTATTTTCCTGAGACTTCGAGGCTATCATTTTGAGAAACTGCTTTTCTTCTTCTATAGAAAAGAGACCGAGAGTGGGCAGGAAGGGTGAAAGCACGGGAGAGGCCGATGTCTTGGATTCTGACTGTTAAGCTGATCGCTAGACCCCGTGTGTGTGTGTGTGTGTGTGTGTGTGTGTGTGTGTGTGTTGGGTTGATCCTCATAAGTGAAGTGAAAATGGGCCTCTCAGCAGAGAAGGAGATGGGCTTGGAAGGAGGCGTTCCCCATGCGGGGCACAGAGGTCCTGCAGCCCCCTGCAGGCGGCTTCCACAGGGCAGGTGGCTTAGAAAGGCTAGTAACAGCTCAACCGCAATGCTGCGCCTTCCTGATGGAAGCAGAGGGACTGCAGAAGGAAAGGCCCAGGCGCCGTGGGGAGACCACTGCTCCCCAAGCTGGGGAGACTTCTCAGGGGTGCTGGGGATTCATGGCTCTTCAGCAGCCCCAAGCTGAAAGCAGAGTCTAGCTGGGGACTTGTCTTACCAAATATTTTTCTTGGGTGACAAAATTCCCAGTAAAAATGTAGGTTCACCGAGGGACTTGCACTGGATGTTTTTCACGTCCTCTGTTTAGTTTGGTGGATTTCTGGTGCTGAGTCTAAGGGCTCAGTGAGCATCTCCATGGCATCAGCACGTGCCAGGGTCTCCTGGTCTCAGTGCCTAAGCCTGATGACCGGCTGTGCCCAGCCTACGGCTCCTCTCTCCTCCGTGGACCCTCTCTCTCCCCCACACTGCCAGTCTCTTCTCATTCTAAGACTCAAATGCCAACTCTATGTGGATGACCCCAAAATGCTGCCTCCTGCCTCCAGCAACAGACCACTGCTGTGTGGCCTGACTGGCCCTCAGCCTCCATTCACCTTGAGAGGACTTCCCGTCCTCCCACCCAAAAGGTGCCTCCAGGCTTCCCCTCTGGCTGGTTGCTCCAGCCAGAACCCTAGGTATCACTCTGGCTCCTGCTCCTTTTCACCCCCACATACAATCCATGAGCAGATAGGTCCCATCAACTCTAGCCCAGCTTCCTCTAAAATCAGCTGCCATGGCCCAGAGATGCCCCCACAATTCTAGTTCAAGTGCTGGGGATCTGATCCCCAATGTGATGGTGTTGAGAGGTGGCCTTTACAAGGTGATTAGGTCATGAGGACTTTGCCCTTGTGAATGGACTAACGCCACTACTGTGGGAGGGTTCCTGACACAGGGTGACTCATGCCCCACCTCTCACACATGGCCCTCTCTCTCGCCTTTCTGCCTTCTTCTGTGTATGGCACAGCAAGAAGTCCCCCACCAATGTGGCCCCTTAACTTGGACTTTCCACCTGCAGTACTGTAAGAAATAAATTCCTTCTCTTTGTAAATTACCCAGTCTCAAGTATTCTCTTAGAGCAGCACAAAATGGACTAAGACAGCAGCATGTTTGTCTTTTGCTTATTTTTGTCTGCCAGCCCCACTCCAAGCATGATAAATGTTTCTTAGTTGACCGAATCCATTCTCATACCACCAAAAGAACATTTCTGCGAGCACACTGCTCAAGGTCACACCGGTGATGCCCAGCACAGCTGGGATGGGGGGCCCAGCACTCTCAGAACCCCAGCTCTTGACTCTTAAATGCCACACTGCCTTTCCTGAGTGATGCCCCTGCACCTAGCAGGTGCTTGAAATACTCAGAAGAAACAGGAACAACCACGAAAGACTCCACGGTTTCAAAGAGTTCCTTATCTTATTTGGTGAGGAAACTTTCCGACTCCAAAATATTCCTCAGATCCAAGGGATGAACGCCTAATAGACCTAAATTAGCTTCTAAATCAGTCATCTCTGTCACCATCACTGGTGGCATACAACATTCTTCCTTTACAGGTTACGGACGAGAACAGGCCACAGACACACAGTGGAGGCCTCAGGTGGTGGCGAGTCTGGTCTTGGGTGAGAGGAGCAGCAGGCAACTCCAGAGATTTTGGGGCGGGGGGTGTTCCATTAGGGAAGCTCATGGTATTGGGCTTCCAGGGAAGAAGAGTGGGCAAGACCTGGGCACCAGCTGAGCTGGGGACAGCACAAGTGCTACCGCTGACACATGATATAGCTCCTGGGACTTACGTGGACACACCTAAGAAGTCTTAGACAGCCTTGAGACAGTATCATTTGTATATTTTCTGTGTGGCCAAGTTGGATGGGTATTGTGTGTCCTTGGGAGGGCAGGGGTGGGGTGCATGTGATGGGAGTTCCCCACAAACAACTTTGCATCACCCAATCCCTGTCCCCTTTTCGGCTTTAACAACCTGCTGGTAACAAAGGCCAAACGAAGCTCAGAGCCAAGGTTACATGGGGCAGAGTCTGCCAGGCAGCTGTCCTGACTTGGCTGAAGAGAACTTTTTCCATCATATTTTGTGCAACAGCCTCTTCCTTTTATGCTGATGGTGTCCGTGTATACTACAGTATTTCTGGGGAATTCCTTTCAGAGAAAGGGAAGCTTTTTCTTAAATCAAGGCCGTTCAATGGAGCGCTGTGTGTGTGTGTGTGTCTGTGTGTGTGCGCGTGCGTGCAGCATGTGTTGGCTGGAAAACCCGTTTTTCTGCACTGTGAGAGACTGAGCTAACCAGCTGGGGCACCCACATCACCCATCTGGCAGCACCACGCTGCCCTGTGAGGATATGTGGATGGTCTTCCTTTCTTGCCATGTGACCCAGGGGAAAGGCATCATTTCCAGTCCTATAAGCCCCGGCATCTAAGTGCCTGACACAAAGCAGATAATAAATATGTAGTAAGTAAAGGAAGAAATGTCTTTAATCACCTTTAGTAAGCTTATGGATGATCACTGCTCCTGGATACTGAGAGAAGGTGCTGGAGAACAATTTCAGAACATAAGATTTCAGGCATGCCATAATTTCAGCATGACCACAGGGAAAGCTGGGGTCTGGGATGTCTGAATACATTCAAAGAAGGCAAGAGATTGAGTAGAGGCTGAAAAAACTGATGGCTGTCATATCAGTTGTGGGCATCAGCTCACAGTGGGAGGCAGAGGTGGTTTTCTTTTAAGCTCCAGAGGGGGCCAGTGAGAACCCCAGAGTATGTGAAACATAAGTCACCTGTCATCAGGTGCTCAGTGGGGAAAGAAGGGAGCATTCCAGTGGCGGGTGGGGACACAGTTTAGCTATGGTCCTATTTTGCTAACCGAAAACTTGAAATAATAAGGAAATATTTATTGTTAATGATTGAAGAAAGCTGCCAGTTGCTGAGTACCTATCTGTTGGAAGTGTCAT